CATAGATTGCATTCCTTTATAGGGGGAAATGATCCTTTATTCTCATGCTTTGTAATGTAATAGCACTAATTTAAAGATTGGGATCATTAGCTTTCATTATCCTAAGCATGCAACTGCAAGAAAAAGTCTTAATACCACACTTTGGTGAACCTTCTTACCATAGGCGGCTGCAGGCCTAAGCATTGGGGGATCATTGCCTAGGCTAAAAATTACTTTTGAAGCAGAACAATGCTATTATAAGCTTATCTTTCCTTTTTACTACACCCTTTTAAATATAAATGCCTAACGCGAGTTGGACCTCTACAACCACCAAAGCCTCTTACCACACCACACCGGTAAATCTGCTTGCTTGCTTCTTTTGAGTTTTCTTCTTGCAGTTGCATGCTTAGGATGATGAAAACTAATGATCCCAATCTTTAAATTAGTGCTATTACATTACTAGGCATGAGAATAAAGGATCATTTCCCCCTATAAAGGAATGAAGTTATCTGCACTATGCCTCTTATGACGTCACGTTTAGCCACACCCATCGACAGGAAGTAAATTGAAAGGAAGCAAAAAGTGCATTTTTGAAGGCTCATATCTCAGTGAATAAATTTTTTTAGACAATATGAGTTGGAACACATCAATATTATGGTCAGGCAATCATACTAAGACCATAACATAAATACCCTGAAAAATCACTGCAGTTACACTTTAAAGACAAATTTCTTACAAAAGTGACTTTTGTTGTAAAAATTTTATCTTGTATTAATTAGAGTTTTATTTAGGGGGACATGCCCTTAATATATTCCTCCCCCTACCAAAAATTATACTGTTTGGCCTCTTTGGCCAAATTCTATTGTAATCATATGTTGACTTGACACATGTACTGTACATGTACAGTGTATACAGTCTAAATGATGTCTAATTAATTTTCAGGTTCAGTTGAGGTTGCATTGTAGTTGATGAAGCTCACCGGCTTAAGAATCAAAACTCACTTTTATACCAGGCATTGAAACAGGTTTGTAACTCGTAATAACGAATGATCGACCTATCTTTATAATAGCATACCACTAAACTACAAAAACCATGAAAACAAAATTCCACATAAATAGCCCACTATAAGTTGGTTTCTCTTTACTGTAGGCCAGTGAAGGTATTGAGACTAGTGACTAGAGACACTGCGAAGAGA